CATTTCATCCTCAAGCGAATTTTGGAGTAACTTTTAAAATTACTGGGTTTTAAAGACACAGCTAAAATCACGTTTCCATGGTTACAGATAAATCTACTTCAACTGGACAACAGGTGTCTGGGTTTTCCTTATGTCTGCATCATTGTATCGGTTATTAGCTACATTCTGGTAAGGGGTAGGGATGTATTTTTCAATGAAAACTGTTAGCTTCCATTTTTGAAACATGTTTAGAACTGTGTAACGGAAAAAAACATATTTTAAATCAATTAATTTATAATATATATATATATATATATATATATACATATATATATATATATATATATATATATATATATCGTCTTTTCTGTTTGAAATTTTGGGATGAGGATTTAATATTATTTACATGCGGATTATTGTCCACGGCTTTGTTGTTATTATAGCTGTTCTTCATCAGTGATTTGCGCTCCGATGTTCAAGTACCTGAAAGGTACTCGGATCGATAGTCAACCAATGAAAGTCGGAGTCACAATGGCTAAAACGTTGTGATAATAATAACAAAGATGGGGAAAATAATCCGTGATTACATAATGACTCATGTTTACTTATAAGCTTAAGTATAAACACAACCAATATTTACCACTATATGCAAGTATAAAAACAACTAATTATTACCTATAGACTCAAGAATAAATACGATATAATTTAACCTCTAGACGCAAATGTAAACGTGACTTATGTCTACTTATAGATTCAGGTATAAACACGATCCAAGTCTACTTATAAGTGCAAATATAAAGACAACAAAAATCTACCTATATAAGCAGGGGCTAACTATAGCCTCAAGCATAAACGCGATATATGTCTACCTACAGAATCGAATTTAAACACATATAAACTCAAGTATATACACAACCTAATGGTACATATCGACACATGTATAAACACGACTTGTATTTATCTATAATCTCGAGTTTAAACATGATGTATATCAACGTGTAGATTCAATAGATGACCCAATAGTTATCGATATGTAGTAAAACCCAGTAACCATCTAACATTCTTATATTGATCTTTACATGTAACTAATAAAATCAAACCAAAAGTTGAGTATATTAAATTATTTAACTTCGTCTTTTTCCATGAAGGCAAGTATTTGAATCTTAATATTTATCTATTTCTTCTTTATATAATTGCTTACTCTGTATATATCTTTGTGCATTTGGATAATTCAGTTTGAGTATATGCATGTAAGCATTCATGAGAAGATCTGTGTGTTTACAGCATTTCTTGAATGTGTTTTTAAAGTGGGCTTATTATTAGTGGATGTCTCTCATATTTCCAAACTTACCCGACACTACCACTTTCCAGAAAGATAATAAGAACAGCAAAAAATATGAAATTAGGAAAAAAAATATTGTCGGAAATAAAGAAAAAGATAGTGATGCTTGTGTGAAGAGAAGAACTATTTATTTACATTAGAGTTGCAATATTTGGGTCAACGTACTCGAGGCTAATGAGGAAATGAAAACTCACTTGACCCAATCATCACCATGCTGTTTCTGTCATCAGTCACTTTCTCCTGAATAAGGACATTTTGGGGATTCTTTTTCGTTCTTTCAGCTTCCGCTGTATTTCATTTACAGTTTTGTTATGTCTTCTCTTCCAGGAGGTTTATTATTTTTTAACTTTGCTCATTCTTCAAGATAAGCCACCATACACCCTTCTCTTGGGATTTGAAAAAAAAAGTAATCTCCACTTGCAAAAGTTGTAAATGGGCAGATTCCAGTACATTTTAATGAGAATGATGGCTACGACTGGATTGTGAGAAATACCATCACTTGATTCATCCTCAAATATGGTCTGTGTGACTATAGCTTTTTTGCCCCGCTAAGGTCTTACATTATCTTACGCAGATGTGGCAAGGATAGGTGTCATTTGTAGTAGCTATTACATAAATTCAGCATAATGTGTAATCAATAACTTCTGTTTGTATGACATCAGAGATGATAACTTCCTAACATTTTCGTTTTTCAAGATAAGCTACAATACGTCTTTCTGTTAGGATCTGAAAATAAATGTAATGACCTTAAGTAAAAGTTGTAAATGCACAGATTCTAACATATCTAAATGGAAATTATAGCTACGACTCGATTCTAAGCAATGCGATCAGTTGATTCATCTTCAAATATGGTCAGTGTGGATATAGCTTTTAAGTCCTACTAGAGTATTACATTATCTTGCGCAGATGTGACCTGTTAGATCAAATGGCAACATTTTCAGTGAAATTAACATCAAGACCTTTACGAAAAACCTTTACGTGAATTTAAATATTCTAATAAAAACTTGCACATATATATATAGATAAATATATTCCTTTATGTTTGACTTAAGACTTTAAGCAAGAAGTATTTTATTTTAATTTAAAAAAATCAATTTAACTTCTTTACTTACAGGAAAGGTCGTGTCTAGATGGAGTCAATGCAAATATTGTCCCAAACTTTTAGATCAAGCATTTTCGAACATACTTGTTGCCATTGACGAAATTAGGGAACCTTTGTTGATGCTATTTGGTTTCATTAACTTTAAAAGCATGCAAAACTCGGCATTATAGTGTTTTATAGTGTTTTATGATGACCCCATGCACGAGGCGATATACAATAGAAATTCGGATGTGTTTATCAGTTTTTAAAGAGATTTTAACTTTTTAAAGAAAATAGATTTCTCGCGTCTAGTAACTGTTATTGGACTTTCCAGTATGCATGGAGAGGTGCTTTCTTCCGATGTGGAACGTCAACATCTGGATTATGTTATTATTTCCGTTTGAGTTACATATGCTATTTAGATTATTTGTTGCTGCTGTTGAAAGTTCTCTAGTGATTTGGTTTCTGTTATTTGTTGGTTCATTGTGATTCTGTCTGTCACGCTAGTTCAGGAGATTTGAAGAAGGATGGCACTCACGCAATCGGGGCCATCTTTTTTTTATCATTTTTGAGAAAGCAGTTGTATACAGCTAGCTGTTTAGATATGTCTGAACAGATTTGGCGTCATACATGACATTCATATTAAAGGTTAGATTTGATGAGGTTATTTAAGAACATGACTAGAGGTTTAGAATAATTTTTTTTTTGTTTTTTAGTAATTTGTGATGTTGGGCTATGTTTGCCTAATGTTCAACTTCTTTATCTCCTGTACTAAATCTATTAAAACTGATCCATACTCCGAGATATTCGAAGTGTTTAATATTTAAGAATTCCACATGACATCACTGATTTTATTCCAATTCCAGATCATAGTCTGTGTTTTGAAAAAGGTTTATCTTAAGTTTTACTTCTTGGGTACTTGGTAGAGAATTTGATTTTTTTTCAAGCTGATTACAATATTAGCTTTCTGGAGTTTATGTTGGACCAATCTGTTTGGCTTGGGTGTAATTGAGAGAATTTGTGCGTTTAAAAAGCATAAATTCCATTCCTTTCCTGAAATGAACGATTAGGCCACTCGATAGATTTCATATTCAACTATAAGTTACATCACATTGTACAAATGTTATTTAACATGTAATTATGATATTCCATTTTATTCAGGATGGCATGGAATTTTACTAAGATATGTTTACAATCCTAAATATTTTTGGAGATGTAACTGAAACCGCTACAGTAAGGTTGTCGGAATAAAGAAATGCGAATTAATCAAATTAAAAAAAAATATGTCTGAATTTAATATTTAACGGTCGGCTTCGACATGAACGCACGCATAAAAACTCAGCCACACATGAACATATGTATGTGCGTCTACTTCAAATATGTACACGTGAAAAATATATAATTTAAGAAAAACCTATTTGCTCTCGATAAATTGCCTTCGTACACAATTTTTTCCATACAAAAATTGGCTAAGCACAAGGGAAACAACAACGAAGAGGAAGCAAAGAAGAAACCTTGGTGCTTGAGCGTAGACTTGTATCGTTAGATGAAATGATCCTAAAACAATATACAAAAGCTGTATCGAAATCACTAAAAGGCGAATTTAGAGGACATCAGATGTGTGACATAGAGAAGCTGTGAAAAATACTGGATGAGGGTTGTGGGTTGACTTCATAATCGTCTCTGGCGGGCATTGGCCTTTAGAATCGAGTGTGAAGAAAATGTTTATTCTCTGCAAACTGTTGTCAGATCAAGTTAAATTAGAAGCACTTCTTGACCCAAGCATCCTTCATCGCCTTTGCCAAAAATGAGGGAAAAAAGCAAATCCGGAAGAGTTTCGCAGAACAACCAATAATGAGATTGATAAATACACACCAGGCGGGTACATATAAACGCGGATATATATATATATATATATATATATATATATATATATATATATATATATATATACGCGCGAGCGCACTCACTGATATATAATATTGACCTCTAATTTAAAACACACGCAAACAAGTACACAGAGGCACGTGCACCCAAATAGTCCTGGTTAATTTGCATATAATTATACATTTATTTTTATATATGTCTAGAAAATGAATATCGGTGTAGCAAGCGATGAGTTGAAGTGGGGGGAATTAAAAAGAATTCTCACACACAACTATATAAACATGAGGTGCTTATCAAAACCACGTGGAATGACTGGGGAAAATAATTGCTCTTACACATGATTTTCAACTACTACTTTTAAAGTCCTTTTTCATGCTGTTTGTCAATGAGATCTTACTCACAGAGCGAAGGACAGGGTCAAAACCCTTACAACGTTTCATTCGCGCACACTGCTTAAACTCGCTAAACATTTTGGTATAGGGTCTTTTATTTGTTAAAATAGCGCACAGTGATTACTGGTTGCAATAATAGAACAGCCCTCGATGAAAAATAAGGAAGCTCATATTTGTAATAATAAGAATTAGACATCGGTTCTACACAGCTCGATGCTACTTAAAGTGCCATGCATATAGCAAATATCAAGCAAAAATGAATATAAATTAAAGTTAAAAGTAAATATCCGTGGCATAGTTTTCAGAAATTTTCCAACAGTTACGCTTGCTGGAACCGATCCCCCGCCATATCTATCTATCTATCTATCTATCTATCTATCTATCTATCTATCTATCTATCTATTGTGGTGTCCTCCCTCTTAAGAGTCTATGTTAGAAATTTCCGCCTACTATAAGTTTAATAGGAGAGAAGGAACAGTGAACAGTGAATGGATGGAGCGCTGGTTCATACGAGACACACTCAGTAGTCGTGTCATACTCTTATGGTGTACTTAGTGTTTAATATACCATATATCTGCAAACCTGGTTTTTGTTTTTACTGAACCATTTACTAGGTCTATCTATCTATCTATCTATCTATCTATCTATCTATCTATCTATATCTATCTATCTATCTATCCCGTCTGTGTATTTAGGCAGTAAATTCTCTTTGAGGCATGTCTGACTGAATCAATCACAAACATTATGTCTACATATTTTGAACATAATCCGTTCATATTCACGAATATTTTCTGTATATTACAATTAATGTGTTTTCGCTAATGATCAATTTCTTCACGCTTCGTCTGTTATGCTTGGAAAGTAATTATACATTCAATTTGCTTTTTGAGTCCAATACTATTAAAAAAACTCGGAGAATTACAGTAAGATATTTTTAATTATTTCAGAGATACAAAACCTAATCTAATAAATGGACGATTTAGACAATTTTGCTGTTACAACCAGTATATACATATATACATATATATCTACATACATATGCTTAGATTTACGTATATATATATATATATATATATATATATATATATATATATATAATTATTTATTTAAAAATAAGATACCAAATCGCGACATAAGAAGTCCCATGTTTCAAAACAAGAGCCGAAAACTTCAATATAATTTTTTAAATTAAATTGAGTTAAAATAAGCTCTGTTCCATCCTCAAGCGAAATTTTTTTGGGAATAACGTGTTTCTGAAATTTACGTGTTTTAAAAATTGAAATAAAAATTTCCATGGTAACAGCTAGGGCGAATTGTTTAAGTTGGGTAGTCGGGTGTTGGGTGTTAATAATAAGTATCAGTATAGGGTTACTTTCGAAGATGTCAAGTCAGGGAAAGGTGGGGGTGTCTAAATTTGAAACGGAAGATGTATTAACCCTCGTCTAGTTTGCATGTCTATGGAGATTTATTTATTTTTTTATGAAAGGGATTTGTGCATATAAAAAAACTGTCGTAACGTTTGTTTTTTGACGACTTCATAAAGGGTTATCTTTTTTTAGGGTATTTAAACTATTTATTTGGGCTATGGATTATGAAGGGTGTTATATTGTATGCATGTTTTTAGTTAATTAGGAATTTGATGAGTGGGCTATGGATTAAACAAGTTATTATATTGTATGCTAGTTTTTAGCTAATAATTCAAACCAAAAATCTGATGATGCCTACAAAAAACCGTTAACTCTTGTCTATTGTTTAATAGATTATTATTATTTAGAAGCTTAATTATGTGCAATTTCTCATGGAGGCATAAAGGGCATGGGTCATCCCAAGTTTTACATGTTCTAGCCTTGTTTATAATTTTCCATTTAACTTTAGGTGTCCTATTTGTTTCCTTCAGATGCCAAAAATATTTAGATAGGGAAGTCTGATTTCTTTTGTTTATATTATTGAAAGAGCACTTATGCTGCCTCCATCTATCTTTAAAATCATTCTTTGTGGACCCAATGTATATCTTATTAGTGCTAGGGCTCTCTGAGCGGATGATATAGTACATTGGTATACCACAGATTTAATGCAGCATTTATTTTCTAATGGGCAGTCTTCTGGGTTTCTACATTTTATTGTCTGATTTAAGTTCAGGGTTTTTATTAATACTGTATAGGCATGGGAGTTTGTTCAAGATCTTCTTATTGTGTTTTTTTTATTATACGTTCAAGATTTTCAGAGCAGCTGTAACTCAATTTTAGGGTGTTCTTATTGAATATATTACTAAGCTTACTATTGGTGGGGAAGTGTTTATCAATTAGGGCTAAGAATTTCTGTCCTAGTTTAATATTAACCCTCTGGTTGAACGGAGGGGTGTACCAAATGATTTTTCTTTTCCTGTTCTTTTTCCTATGGCCAGTGCAATTGTCTCTATAGTTAATGTTAGCATTTTTATAACCACTATTTTTAGGGCAGTGTTATAGAAGCCATTGTGTTGTTGGAATATTTCCTTGTTAGCGGAGTTATTGCTAATTCTATTTTCTATTGATGAGGGTATATATTTAATTATGGATGGAGGGTGATTTGAATTCGGGTGTATATATAAAGGGTTAGCATTAGGTTTACTATAAGGTTGGTATGTGTTGCCTGGTGAGTCTAGAGTTACGTCGAGGAAGTTAACCCTTTTTAAATTAGAAGAGACAATTATCCTTAAGTTTAGTTTTTTAAATTCACTAAATATAATTTTTCTGATTTTTTCAATCTTAAAACTAGTAGAACTCCTCACCACCATGAGCCCGTCATCTCTATACAGTCCGATGTCCTTAATATCAATTTCGGTGTGCCGTTAAGTTGTACAGTATTAGAAGACCAACAAGGTCAGAAAACTCTGCAGAGTCTAATGATCCCATAGTGATGTCAAACAGGTCGTTATTGTTTTTTATCCATTGGTCCCCATTATGAATGAGAACCGTTTGCAGACACACGCTCAGGCATATTTGTGTTTATTCAACACCCAAAGGGACCACATGTGGCTTATACTGCAGTTCTTGGAAAAGAGAGCGTGTTATCTAGCGTGATCAACAGTCTGAACAAGGCCAGCACACTCAAACCCTCGGTCACGATGACTTGTGACTTCGTGCTAACACAACAATTCATCGACCCAAATAAACGCACAAGGAAAGAATCGACCCGGGGAGTGTTTTTTTTTAGACATTTTTCAAAAGTTCCGCACAATGGGGATCGCTTCCAACAGAGCGATAACATGAGGAAGTCAGCTTCTTGACAAATCGATCCTGTTGAGATACATACGCAAACACACACACGCACACGCACACGCACACACACACACACACACACATATATATATATATATATATATATACACAGATACACATATAAGCACACATGTGTATATATATACACATATATATACCTGAAATATGTATATATATATATATATATATATATATATATATATATATACACACATATCTATGTATATATATATATAGATATATATATATATATATGTATGTATATATATATACATAAATATATACATATATATGTACACACACACACACACACACACACATATATATATATATATATATATATATATATATATATATATATATATATATATATATACACTCCACACACACACATATACCCCCCCATATATATATATATATATATATATATAAATATATATACTACATATACATATATATATTTTCAATTTGTATGTGTTTTTTTATTTCTTGGTTTTGGTGAGTTTGTTGTTGAGTTTTCTTTTAATTTTCCTTTGACCACCTGGCAGACTTTCTGTTGGTTGTACCGAATTCCTGGTCGCTTGTATCTGAATATATCTGTTTAATTTGGTGGCAAGACAGTCCCCGTTACAGACGCTTGCCCAGAGAGATTTGAGTTTGTTCAACACCCACAGCGCACACGTGGTGTTTATACTGCAACTATGCTGAGCGGACGTACAGTTTCTGAAAGAGAGAGAGTCCATTATCTGGTGTGATCAATTCTGAATAAAGCTATTACGCTCAGACATACAGTTACTATGACTTATACTAGCAAGAAGTAATATGGTTGTATATAGCACACACACACACATATATATATATATATATATATATATATATATATATATATATATATATATATATATATATATATATATATATATATATATATATATATATATAAATATGGTTGTATATATAACACACACACACACACATATATATATATATATATATATACATATATATATATATATATATATATATATATATATATATATATATATATATATATACAATGTATATATGAATATAAATATATATATGTATATGTGCGTATATATGTATATGTACCTATAAATATATATCTACAGTGTAACCCGGATATAAGAGAGTTGTCAGGACCGGAGAAGAAGTCTCTTATATCCAGATTTCTCTTATATCCGGGTTTGGTCTATTTTATATACATTAACACAGGCTCTAATTTGGGACAAATTTCTCTTATATCCGGGTTTCTCTTATATCCGGGTTTCTCTTATATCAGGGTCTCTTATATCCGGGTTATATGTACATATATATATATATATGTCTACATATATACATGTACTTATATATATATATAAATATATATATATATATATATATATATATATATATATACTTACATCTATATCTGTACGTATATATATATGTACATATACATATATATATACGCATATACATATATGCACATATATATGTCCGCATATATATGTATATGTGCGCATATATATATGTGTGTATGTGCGTATATATATGTATATACGCTTATATATATATGCATATGTGCGTATATGTATATATGTATATGTACTTATATTTATGTATACGTCCGTATATATATATGTATTTGTTCGTATGTATCTGTATTTGGGCATATATGTGTATGTGCGTATATATATTTATGTGTGCATAAGGGTATATGGGTATATGTGCTAATATATATATATATATATATATATATATGTATTTATCTATCTATCTATCTATCTATCTATATATATATATATATATATAGATAGATAGATAGATAGATAGATTTATGTATGTATATATGTATGTATGTAATTTAGGAAATGGATTAAATCCGGCACATTTTTAATATATTCGTTTAAATGTTAATTTAAATGGATACACATATTTGAGTAGTTGCTCTGTTCTTATTCCTTTATTAAACACGATATTTAAATATTTTGGTAGATGTAAATAAATAAATATACTGCTTATTAAATAAATAAAAACAGAGCACTTTCTGAAGTATGTGTATTCATTTAAAATAACGTTCAAATATGTCTATTAAAAATATTATACATATGTATTTGTGCGCATTATGTATAAGTCTGTAACATTGTAAATGTTAATGAAGTGCCACGTACCGCGATAAGATAGTTGATGTGTACAAACAAGGTGATGGATATACAACACTTTCAAAGAGTTTAAATGTTTCTAGAATGACAATTCCTTATATTTTCAAGAAGTACAATGAAACTCTTTGCGTTGAGAATAAACTAAGGACTGACAGAAATAGTTTAATTTCTGAGAGAATGGAAAAGAAAATTGTTCGAGATGTCTTGAATAAACCTCACTTAATGACAAAGGAGATAATGTAAAAACATCAGGGTT